TCACCTAGAGCTTTCGACCAGTCACTCTGGTCTTCCTCAGTAGACTGACCCAGTGAAGCTTGTCACGTGGCTTCTTTGAAGTGTGACGTCAACACTGGGTCAAAGGTATCTGGTAGACGATGTCGGCCCCCGTCACGGTTCAATGAAGGGTGATGGGCCCTGATGTATATGGCTTCCTTCACCCCTCTCAGGAAATACTCTTGTTCAGTGTCTAAAAAACTTACAGTGTCAAGTGAAACAAAATGTCCGAGTGAGAGAATTTTTGGTGTTGGATCAAAAGTTTTAACTTTAAACACGTAACTACCAACACAGATGAACTTTCATGATAGTATCTTCTAAATTGTTGAGATTGTATTTGTCCTAGTGAAGTGCAGGACTTGGAGCGTGCCCATGCTGTGTTGTTTGATCTGGTGGAGAGACAGGACATCCCTGTGTTTGATGACTTACACACTGCAGTACACTGTGCAGCCAAGGTGCTACGTATGGGGATCAGTGTGAAGGACCTTACTAAAACAGATGGAGCACAGCCTGTGCAAAATGCACACATCTGTGTTGGTGAATCTATAATGTAAGTGTTGTTCTATAAGCTTCATTCACATGTGATCATCAACAACTTGTTATAGATAAAGCTTCGGTCACAACCCGCCATACGTGCTTCTGCGTGCTGTCTACGTGCAAAAACGTGAGCAAACGTAGGGCATCCGTGCATGGTGAGTACCACCTCCGTACGGAATCCTATGGATTTGGGAGCACGCAGACACGCCGTAGAAATTTAAGTGCATGTAAAACTTTTTCTGCGTGCAGTCTACGGATTCACCACCTGTGCGTGCGAGTACGGGCGACGCGCATGCCCCGTACGTACCATACGAAAGATGCACGCGTGAGTACGGCCTCGTTACGTTAAAGTTGCAATCGCACAGAGATCGTACGTTGTAAGCACATACAACTCACCACTTGCACAACGTACGATGCACACAACCGCTCACGGCCAGACGTGGCGTGCAGACCACACTCTAACACTTTGCGCAACCATGCAAGTGATGTGCATTGACGCCACTCCTTCCCCACATTTTCAGAAAAATTGTAGCAGACGTAGCCTCCCAAGAAAACGTACGGACAAAAAGCATGTACGGCGGGTTGTGACCGAAGCTATACCAAAACATACAATGCACTTATTATAATAAACAGTCTCAATATTGATAATGTATGTAAACAGTGCATGAATTGTAAAATCATAACAAATGGGATCTCATTGTATAAAGAATGATAAACAAGCTTTCTAGTTATATACTTTGCAAACTGAGGTAAATATCAATAAATATTCCTCACATTCACTGTTCTCCTGGGGAAAATGACAAAGTCTTTCTTTTTCTTTAAGATTGATTAAAGAGGCATTTGATGGAGTTGACACAAAACAGACTGGACATCTTGACATGAATGACGTAAGTTCACCCAAATGACTTGTCCCTGTACATGTATATGGTGTGCTCTTTGGGGTTAAACTGTTAAAAGTGTCATATACAAAGCACTTACATTGTAATAAGCTATGTTCTTCAGATCACAAGACTGGCAGTGTGACGTAAATACCTTAAAGTTTGTCAAGAAGGTTATGTGTGTGTTACGTGGCATTATTTTGTACATTGTCATGTAACTAGAGGTGCAGGGGATGTACAAGACTGGTCATGATATTTGGCAGGTACATGACATTGTACAGTTGGAATTGGGACATTCTGTAGTACTGTTATTATTGTTAGGTGGTACATGTATATTGGTCTTGGGCCAGGGGGGACCTGGTGTAGATTTGGCCCTCCTAACTGCTGTAAACAGCAGTGGGCCTTTCTTGTGAATTTTGTGGACACAATCAAGATCTTCTGGGTGTGCCGTCATGATAATTTGTAGGTACAAGATAGGTTGGGGTTAAAATTACTTGGTTAATGGTTTGTACAGTTGCAGTAGCAGTTTTTTACAGTACTGCAGCATCATTTCTGGGATTGATCTGAGTATTCTGGGCCTGATTTTTGAGTGGTAGACACATGAAGGTCTTGGGGACTTGTAGGCTTGTGACTCCGAGCTACTTTATTTTGAACTAGCTTAACATTGGGAACTTAAGAAAAGGATAACTGGATAGTTTGTTTTTTTGCGTACTGTGTTTAGCATAAAGAGGCTATACAAAATCAGGCATTACTTACATATTAATCATTAAGTACACCATGGTACTGTAGCAATACTCATGGGTTTGATGTCTCTTTCTCTGGTAAGGCCACACCGACTTAATTTTATGGATGACATCCGCGCTCGCATTGATTTTCGCCTGTCCTAAAAAATAAAAAGAAAGATCACGTCCTCAAGGGCTTTGGCCTGGCTCTAGGCTTGGGTAGTCCGTGGTAGTTAGCAACAATACAGAGCCAGTGGTAACTCTGGAGGACGGCACCCAGGCTACCGAAGCTCCACGGCTCAAAAACTCAGTAACGTTACATACGTACAGTGCCGATTCATAAACTCCGCAAAAAAGCCAAGATGTGCCGACTTGTTGTAACGTTATACGTCGCTAAGTCCTGCCGCAAATTCACAATACCAGCTTTGTATTACTGTGGTTTAGTAACATTTTTTTTTTTGCTGGAATTGTTTATTTGCCCGTGCACACTAGTTTGGGGGTCTTCAGAGGATGTCATCCATAAAATTAAGTCGGTGTGGCCTAATGTTGTCTGTATCAGTAGTAGACAGGTGGTAGACAGGTCTTGGGGCAGAGGGTACCTGGTGTAGGTTTGGGGTTCCTAATGTCTTTTTACTTTAAAGTATGAAATTCCCAGTGGTTACCTCTTTGATACAGCATTTTCTAAATAAATAAATGAATTATGCAAATTAGGCCTTCATTTACATGATTGGTATCTGGCAACATTCCACTATCTTATTCTCAATGCATATGTCACAAGTGTATGGTAGTCCTATCATCGAATGTAGGGGATTGAAAGAATTTCCTTTATATGTAATTATTCAAATTAGATCCCTGTTTGTGTAATTGTTATATACTTACATTTTGTAATATGTCAACCATCACTTAAGCTACTTACGTACCAAAAACCATGATGGCACAACCGAAAACATAACAGTTAACATTACCTTCTTCTAGATGGTAATAAAAATACACATAGAAGTAACAATTGAAGAAGGTATAATGTATATGAAAGCACTGAACTCAAGTTGTGTATTATTTCCTTCAGGTATGTCTCTCATACAAAGCACTGACTGGAAAGGACCTGACAGTTGCAGAAATTAGAAGCATCAGCAGTGTTAGTTATTCCAGAGATGAGGAGCTGACTTTCAGTTTTCAAGAATTTTGCTGCATAGTTGATGAATTCAGAGCAATGGTAGGTTCATCAAGATGTTTAGTTATTGATTTAAGTTACATACTTTTAGGACTGTAGTACAGTAACAGTTACAACCAGAAAGGTAACATTTGCAAAGCATAGGTCTGCTCTGTTAATTCTTACTCATTGCCAAACACATATATGGTTGGACAGGAGTCTAAATCCCTCCTGCTATAAAATTGCAACATTATGTACCCCAACACCAGTTACCATGGCGCCAGCCATCTGGATTGAGGTCATTGACCTTTTTGGTTTGGAGAAGAAGAGGAAACTGAGAAAAAACAAGATGTTTTCCTTCGGTAAACATAATAAAGAATGTCAGAACATTACAGCCATTTCTTTTAAGATCAGCAGAGTTGTCTTACTACTGTAGGTTAACACTTGAAAACATTTCTCATGTCGATAACAGATACACTGTAGTTCAAACAGGACACTCACGTGTAACCTGGATGACTCTTACATGCAACAAGTTACATGCAATGAGTTTGTACAAAATGTATGGCAATTAGTGGTATTGTTTCTTTTGACTCATGCAAAATAAGGACATTTGAGGTAGAGTCATTGCGGGTCACCGCGTGGTTTTATCTCCATGTTTGTAATACTTTTGAATTATTTAGAAGGAAAGAATACCTCAGTACCAAAAGTTCTAAATGTTTCATAAATTTGAAAATGAACAATTGAATATATTTGAATTCATTTACTGGTACTACATGTATCAATCATTATAACTCTTCTTTTTCTTTTTAGACACATTACAGCATAGGGGACTTCTTCTACTCCATTTACAGCTCGCTATTTACACTATTTGGTGAGTAAAGACTACATACCCAATACACATCTCTCCATACCCACTACACATCTCTCCATACCCACTACACATCTCTCCATACCCAAGTGCTACACATCTCTCCATATCCACTACACATCTCTCCATACCCACTACACACCTTTCCACACCCACTATACACTTCTCCATACCCACTTCAATTCTCTCCACACCCACTACACACTTCTCCATACCCACTGCACACCTTTCCACACCCACTACACACTTCTCCACACCCACTTCAATCCTCTCCACACCCACTACACATCTCTCCATAGTCCATACCCACTACACACACTCCCATACCCACTACCCACTTCTCCAATTACCCACAGCACATACCTCCATACCAACCACACACTTCTCCATGCCCACTACACACTTCCATACCATCTACACACTTCTCCATACTCATATACACTTCTCCATATCCACTACATACACCTCCATACCCACTACAGACCTCAGTGGTATGGAGAGGTGTGTAGTGGGTAATCCTATTGAGATTTATGTTCATTATTTTATTAGAAAAATGAGATACTGCAGTAATACTTGTTTAGTATCTATTACTAAATATAGTTAAAACTTTTTTTCTAGAACCTTTTTTTTTAATGTTCGTTCAAAAAGTTTATGTTTGCTGTTGCGTTTGTATGTGTGCACATATATATGTATGTGGTGTAGCACCAAAATGCTTCAGATAGATTGTCATGGAACTCTTGTTTTAACTAACTTACAGGAGAGTGTAGCCTCAGTTAACCTTAAATTGTATTTTTCTGTATTAAAGACTCAATTTACACCAATCTTGTCTTCCATGTCTTCCTGTTACATGTACATGTCAAAGTTATAGACTACCTTTGCCACTTGCATGTACATTTGTATGCTGTACATGTTATTTTTTTCCTTCTAATCCTGCTGATACAAAAATAGTGGCCTTTGAAAACAGTTTTGTTGAAAGTCACCACTTTTTGGAGGGGGAACCTTTATGCATCATCAATCAGCTGTTCCTCCCCAAATTCTTTACCTACAGACAGAAAGTGCTCACAATACAGACTTGTTCAACTCAAAAAGCACTACAAAACTAGAGTTCCACAATCTCATACCTTTGCCAAATGATGTTACCCTTAGGCCTTGACGAATGTTGACAATTCGCATTAATTATCCAAATTAGGCATTCATTTGCATAAACACTACCTGCCAATGTTCTTCTTCTTCACAATTACACATGCCACACGTTTGAATAATCATATCATGAAAGGTAGCAGATTTATAGCATTTCCGCATTAATTATGCTAATTAGCTGCTGATTCTTTAAGGTACCCACATACCAAAAATCATGATGATCCGTCATTCGGTTCTTGAGGTAACTTCCTTCGAATATTTTTCAACGAATGCTTCTGCAGTTCCAGAACAAGCCGCTAGGGAGTCCAAACCCATGTCACTTCTTCCCCCGCCAGAGCTACCTACCATCCAAATTTAGTGACCCTACCATGTCCAGATCACGAGATATCAAAACCGGAAGTTCAGCTGCAGTACCATAACAAGCCGCCAGGGGGTCCAAAATCTAATTCCAGGTCTCATCAAGACCTACCCACCTACCAAATATAAAGACAATCCATCTTAGCCTTCTTGAGTTATCGTGTTGACACACACACACACACACACACACACACACACACACACGAACGCCAACGAAAACATAACCTTCTTGGTGAAGGTAATGACACAATACCCTCCTCCCACATTTTGTTCCATTAGTGGATGTCAAAGTTGAAAGGTTCGTAGGGACATCAGACCATGTGGTATCTAGTGGAGAATGTTGTGTAATAAAGGTGAACTGACATTATTTACAGCATGTTAATGATATTGATTTTTTTTGTCAGGCTGGATGAAGAATAGAAAAGCAGAGCAGGTTATTATGGAAGACTTAACAATAAGACGGGACGTCTTCTTGGGAGGAAGTTGTGCAAACACAACATGGAGAGAGCAGATTGCCATTCCATTGTTAAGGTACCATTCTATCCTTCACTCTTATACAACAGGTATTCTTTAATGATGAAGGTTTCTTCCATTTTGTAAAATGGGTTCAACTCCATTGTTTTTCAGTCAAATCATCTAAAATTTGGAATGGGGATGAAATTATTTAAACCAGGGTAATTACTTCAGGACAGATTTCATTTTTTTATACCTGCCTGCCTGCCATATTTTTTTATACAGGCCTTTGAAATGATTTTAATGACGTTTTCTTGCCATTTTCAGACCAGAAATCTAAATGTTGGGTTACTCCATGTGCTCTGGTATAGAAACCCATTGACCTGTAGCCTCCTTCGCAGTCTTGTTGGGCGTCGGCGTTATTTTTTTCTGTGAGCAACGCGAGTGAGCGCGAATCCTTCTCTCCTGGCAAAAACTCCCTCGGCAGCAAATCGTCCCTCACGGCCGCATATTACTCGCGTCGCTCAGAAAAAAATAACGCCGACGCCCAACAAGACTGCGAAGGAGGCTATTGACCTGGTACATATTTGAAATGGGGATGCTCAGCCCACAGAACTTCATCAATACTTTTCGCATACATGAACTTCTTATTCTTGGAATCATAAAATATTTTTTCAGACAAAAGATATTAACATGACCTCGTACCTTTTCCAAATGATGTTATCCTTTATTAATAAGGATTATGTATTATAGCGGTGTCTTGTTAATTATATAATTAATTAATAAGATCCTCTTTTTCGTGAATCATATCAGTTGATGATTTTTGTATATAAACCAAGTACACAAAAACTAGGAATGCCTTAGTTGAAGGCATGATTATTTGATATTTGCATTAATTAGAGCAGTTGATAATTTTCTATAATTATATAAACCTACATGTAGTACAAACACTCAAGTTTCTGAACACCTCAATTCTCACTTAACTCAGGTACTTGAAGTCATCACTACATGTATTTCTTGTTCTTTTTTGGGAATATACTAGATACATGACGCAATTACATTATAGTAATTGATATGTCTACCATTTTATTAGTCATTTTGTACATGATACCAAGGACATTATACACATGTGTATAATGTCCTTGATGATACACATCATTGTGTACACTGTACAGTCATTTTGGATAAACTAGTTATGATTATTCACTTTCAGATGTTTCTTTTCAATTTTGTGATAAAAATGTATATTTGGGGATCCTGTGCCAATTGTATGAATCCAAATAAAATGTCCTCGACTTTGGTATGGCATATCTTTTGCACTTGAGCGATTCCTGTAAGAGATGACTTCAAAGAGTCCATTTTACATGTGGGTGTTTTTGATGTTGTTGCATAGGGGGTGCAAATTCAAAAAGTTCCAGTTTCGAGTAGGGTGATGTTGAGATGAAGAAGTGAAATTTGCTGTATTTGTTTGCAAATGTTGTCTTTCAAGTTAAGCCTTGATTTCTAATTTTTCCAGGAAACATGGCATAACATATTTCAACCCACAGCTTGCAGTGTGGAATCTGCGTTATCTGCCACTGGAGAATGAAGCCAAGGCCAACTGCACAGTTTTCCTTGCTGTCATCACAGGAGAGACAAGAGGTCTGGCCTCCATGGTAGAGGTACTGTATATGGCCATAAAGATGTATGTATGTATGTATGTATGTATGTATGATATACACTTAATAATAATAATTGGTTTGCATGGGTTGTTTGGGAGGCAATCCAGATCCGCCGACAACGCAGTACAATACAGGTCATGTACGGGGACAGGGGTTGTCACTATCTGAAGCCTGTATATGACTGTCTCTTGTCACGTGATAATCACATCAAGTCACGTGACAAGACGAGACCCGGGTTGAAGAAGAATAGAGTGGGTCTCAAAATCTCATTGAGTAGCTAACTTTTTGTCGTGTGATTTCATTGTTAAAAAATATCCGTCAAGAGAGATACACACACACATAGGTCAGGGTCAGGGAGTACCAATAGCATCCTGCTTCATAATTATATCATTGGTACTGAATATTAATTGCATTCTATGGAAATTTGTTACATTTGCCAAGAAGATCACCACAATTGAATATTTTGTTGTATCAAGGAGCTCCATGTGGAAGAAGCATTTGTGCCAAAGTCAAACACTTGTACACCATAGACCAACAAGTGAAATAGTAGTAGGTTTCAGAATACGAGAAATAAGAAGACTAACTTGAATGTGGTAAAATCTGTTTCAGATTGCATTCTTTATTGGTCAGGATCGAGACCTTGTTCTCTCCCTGGAAGACATCCAAGATGGAACTGTGATCAACGGACACGAGGTAACTTCTCTGTCTCATAAATTTTAGCTTGTGAAACTACTAAGACAAAGTGTGTTTCTATCTAAAAGATACACTTCATGCCAAAAATATGAGACTACAAAATATGCATTTTTGCCTCACACAATTCCATTTTTACTTTCAGTTGAGAGTCAAGCTTAAGCTACAGGTACATGTTAACTGATCTGGGAAAATACTCATTAGAGCACCATTCATCAAGGAAAACTTTTACGTAAAAGGTTTTGTTTCTTGAATAGCATTTACTAGTTTGCCTCTGATACATGTAGTTATTACCTCCGCTAGAAGGTTACACATTTGGTCATCAGTAGATTTTGGTTCCCCTAGCAGTGGAACTTCCTGTTCGATATCTTGTGATCTGGACATGCTACATGTACACATGTAGGGTCATAAATTTTGGATGGTAGATAACCTGGATCTGGAAGATGATTCTAGACCCTTTTGGTATGTACAGGTACATGTAGTTAATATAATAATGTGATGTTCAAAATAAAAAGTAGATCACAAATCGGCCCAGTTGATGGTCAGGGAAACAAACGTTATCAATTTGTCTTGTGAATCATTGTCACCGTGTTGAGCTGGAAGTGGATTCATCTGCACATAAATTAAATCAAATCAAATATATAAGCTTTCTAAGTACTGTTTGAAAGG